TCACCTTATGACAACACGTTATTCGCAGCCATTAATGTGAAAATATCCTAGGATATCGTTAACGAACTCTGGTCGAATTTTACGTTCTGCATCGAGGAAATCCCAAGAGAGGTAACACATATTCGAAGAAAAACAAGAACACTTTAATATAATGTAACTGATCTATAAGGTCAATTGATGCATATACATGTTGGCAACGCTGGTGTTTTGTTTTTTCTTTTTCTTTTTTACAGAGAATTTAAATAATATTGTTAAATGATAATTAACAGCTTGGCTTGGCTTAGGCCAAGTAAACTATTCAACTATGATCTAAATAGTACGTAATTCGGGTGTAAGTATTAAAAGTTACGGTACCACATTTGAGCTCTTCTCTCTGTCATGCATTCAAATAGTAGGCCTAGTTTACAGTCATTTCATAAATCTCTAGTATAATAAACCGGTGTATTTTATTTGGAATACACACTATAGGCAGACCTATATTTGTGTGATATGGCCTGCATTTCCCATCATATTATGGCTTTGTCAACGAGTTGCGGATACACTTAATGCACTGCCCAGAAAGTTATAAAAAAATAAATAAAAAAATCGAAATTTTAAATTTTAATTGCTCATTTAAAAGAACCAGGTAGTAATCAATTTTCAATAAGATCAGATAAAAAAAAAATGTTTTCATCGGATTTAATGACGAAAGACAATATGATTGTTAATTTAAACGCCCGTTAACTGACGACTCTTTTACTCTTCTGTATGTCATTTCAAAGGTAATGACGTAGGACTATTGAAATACCGACATGATATGGTAGTTACTAAATATACAGTGTACTTAAATAATTGTGAAATTAATTTTTCAAAGTTCTAGGTGGCAGCATCTCGAAGAACGCGTGTTTATTAGGCAACGGGAACCTTAATGATGAGTAGGTCGCGTACCACCATATTGTAGGCTTACTTAGTACGTTAAATGCAGTGGCGGATTTAGGAGCGGAGGAAAGCCGCACCCTTTCGGAAAGTAACAAATAGAAAGAAAAAGAAATTACTGATCGCTCAAAACGCCTCAGGGGATATTTCTAGGTGTCTAGAAAAGAACAAAACAAAAAACGCTAGGGTTTTGTCTCTCAATCAACCCCCACCCCACAAACCATTTTTGAGGACATCTGTGGATCCGCCCTTGAAATGTGATGTCAGGAGAATGTAATACATTTTGACACGGAAACCGCCCTAAACAATTTGTTGGTGTTTCTGTTCATGTTACATTAATGCCTACCGTACCGACAATTATTATAAATTAAAGATAATTTATGTGCAATTGCTAATTTTGTGACAGTGTTTCGTAACTTGTCTTGAATGTTTTACATGGAAATTATCAATAATCAAATATTAATTAAACTTTTGTACATCATGTGTAAGAATAGTTTTTTAACATAAAGATTAGAAACAAACATCACGCCGTTTTATGAAATAAAATTAGAGCTGTTTGTTTA